TTCCATCACGTGGGTCCTAGGGCTCAAACTCGGGTTGTCAGCCTTGGAGGCAAGCATCTTTACTGCCTGAGACATCTCATGGGTCCTACTGTGCTGCTGTGTGTATGTGTGTGGAGGCCAGAGGACAACCATGGTGTTGTTCCTCAGGCACTGTCCACTTTCCTTTTTTAGACATCATCTCTAAGGGGCCTGGAACTCATTCATCAAATTGGCTAGGTTGGCTGGCCGATGAACCCTAGAGGCCTGCCTGTCTCTGCCTCCCAAGTGCTGGGATTACAAGTGTATGTCATGACATTCAGCTTTCTTTAGATGGGATCTGGGAATGGAACTCAGGTCCTTATGCTTGCAAGGCAAGCCCTTTACAGATGCTGTAGCCCTATTGTGATGCTTTTATCTCACAAGTGGAATCACATGTTGCTGTACTTTTTCTAATGTGTTTAACTCCAAAGACAGTGTCTACTCCTCAGACTAAGCCAAGCAGTGGACAGATACACTGAGGAAAAATGAACCATCTCCTTCTCCAGATCACCAGCTCCTCAGCTATGGGGTGCACAGGGATCTCAGGGCGCCAGCTGCTAGCGTGGCGATGGTCCCCTGCGCGCACCTGGGAAGGCGGCGGGTCCCGCGGCGCGTCTGCTCCGTGTTGTTGGCGGGTCCCTGCTTCTCCGTTGCTTCTCCGCTGTGGGTCCCTCTGCTACCGGGGCTGGCCCGGTCGAGTTCCGCCCCAGTTTCACCCGTGCACTTCCTCGAGATGCGAAATCCACCGGCCCCTGGATCGCGGGAAGGTGCGGGGCGGCTAAAGCTGGGTTGTGAGTCGATGATGGAAGGATAGCGCCCCCCGGGGAGACTGGATCGTAGGCAGTAAGACACAGGACTCAGCTCAGTCAGTGGTACAGCCCCTTTATTCTCCTGACTCTGCTCGGCTCCAAGTCTTAGTGATCCAGTTCCAATTATTGAGGGGAAACCAGGATACTTATACTGTAGGGACAGTGGTAAACACCTTAGCTGACAGGTACTTTGTGGGATGCCTTATTTACATGTAGAGGTGGGCTCCTGCCAGGCACACAGGAAAACCTGGCGGTTTCAGAGCCGGAGGCCATGTTTCTGTGACGGCTACTTCAAAAGATGAGTCAGGAAGATTCCAGGAAAGCACCCTGCTGATAAAAGGAGTCTCTGCATTTGAAGCCGAGCCCATGGGCTATCTGGACATGAAGAGACTGCTACTTTACACAACAAGGGTCCCCAACACTCACCAGGCCCAGCAGGTATCACTGCTAGCCTGTGATGCAGGCACATTTTTTTATACTCCTATAAATACATGTGGATGTTCCCCGTCTCCTTTCAGTACACCTATTTACATGATGCATTGGTTCAGCATTTTGCTTTTTCCTCTTAGTAGCCTAGCTAATTTACCAAGTCAATAGAAACAGTTTTTTAAATGGCTGCATTAATCCCAGTGTCTGGATAAACATAGTTTACCAAATCATTTCTGAATCAATGAATGTTCATACTGTTTCCATGCTTTAGCTCTTTTAGAAAAGTCTACAATTACCACTCCCTTGTGTGTGTGTGTGTGTGTGTGTGTGTGTGTGTGTGTGTGTATGTGGTGTAGATATGTGTGCACATGTACATGCCTGTGTATATGCTTGTGGCAGCCTGAGGTTGAGGTCAGGTGTCTTCCTCTTTCACAATCCATCTTAATTTTTGAGGCAGTCTCTTACTAAATGGAGCTCATCAATTAGAAGCTCACTAGCTGGCCAATGAGTTCCCAGGATCCATCTGTCTCCACCTCCCAGCACCCTGGTCCCCAGCTTTTTACATGAGTTCTGTGGATCCAAACTCAGGTTCTCACGCTTGAATGGCAAACATTTTACCCTCCAAACCATCTCCCAGCCCTCTCCAATAAAAATCTTTTCACATATACCAAATGGTGGGCCTATGAGTCTTAAGGAATTATTATTTTTTTCTGAGACTGGGCCTCTCTAGTAACCCCAACTGGCCTAGAACTTGCTATGTAGATCAGGCTGGTCTGGATCTCACAGAGATCCACCTGTCTGCCTCCTGAGGTCTAGAATTAAAGGTGTACGCCACTATGCCTGGCTGGTCTTAAGGAATCTTAACAAGTCTTAGTTGTCAAAGTATGAGACATGAACAGTCACTGAGATAATTCCTTTCCCCACAGTTAAGACATAAGTAGGCTAGCTTCCCAAGCTGGTCTTGATGCTTCATTTTATAACTCTATATGGGAGCTTATCATCCTGAATGTTGAAGCTTCTTCAAAAATGGTTCCCAGAAATGAGGCTGGAGAGATGGCTCAGCAGTGAAGAGCACTTCCTGCTTGTTAGAGGACCAGAGTTCAGATCCCAGCACCTATGTCAGGTGGCTGGCAACCACCGGTAACTCTAGGGGAGCTGATGTCCTCTCCTGGCCTTTGTGGGAGCCCCTATGGTTTCTGGCCTGAGCTTTGGGTCTTTTCCACTCTAACTTTTGAGAGGCTCCTATATCCATTTTAGGAAAGATACAGAAAACTTTCCCCTAAAAGCTGTGAATGATCTCCTGATAAATCTGTTTAGAAGTCAATATAGCTTTTAAATTGTATTTTATAAATATAAATTTATAGGCTATTGTATTAACACTTCAATTTTTTCCTACTATAGCTATGGAAATATGACTTTTATACCTGTTTGTTTTAGCTCATTTTCCATGATTATAGCAAAATATCTGTAGTGGGTCAACTTTATAAAGAAGACAGGATAACTGATATGGTTGTGGTGCATTTCTACAGTCCCAGGTGAGGCAGGAGGATCAAGAGTTCAAGTTCATCCTTGTCTATATAGTAAGTTCAAGGTCATCCTGAACTACTGGAGACCCTATCTAAACAAACAAACAAACAAACAAACAAATAAACAAAAAAACAGTAAAGGGGTCTATTTATTTCAGTGCTTTGGTTGCCGGAAGCCCAGACAGTATTGTTAGTCTCTGATGATTGTTCACCTTGACTTATTCACCTCCTGGAAGAAGGCATGGTGGGAATGCATATGGGAGGGGAGATCACATTGTAAGATTAGAAGCCAGAGAGAGACTGGGGTCCCACAGGACCTTCTAAAGGGATGTCCTTGACTGATCTAGGACCTTCCGCTGGGAACCATCTCCCAACATCATTACCTTAAGGACCAAGCTTCCAGCATATAACCTTTTGTGGTACACTTAAACCTTAGCCCCGCCCAACTCCACTGTGCTGCTAAGAAGCCAGGTCAAGCCAAGTGACACATATCCTGTGATAGTTTTGCTATGAGCTCCCTGTACTTCCATGTTCCATGAGGTTCAGTTGGCAAAATAACACCCTATCTCTACCCCCCACCCCCATCTGCCCAAGCTTTGAACACATGACAGTTCTGGGATGCTCTCTAGATTTGTCCTATACTAGTGCTAAAAAAGAAAGTGGCTAAAGTTATATATCAAATTATATCAACATTTTCCTTTCTGCCTCACCATTTCATGCAGGCATTGATATTACAAATGAGTGACTTGCTTTGAAAAGGTTTTGACCAATCTTTTCTGTTATCCAAATGTCATATTGGCCTTGCTGAGAGTATTTTAAAGTGATTTCTTATTTGTGGTCTTTTTGTTACTTGGGGAGGTGGTTGGGTGACACTCCTTGAACTGTATTGCAGGTGTTTTATATTCATTCTTTTGTCTCCTCCTGTCTGAACTACTGTCTAATTCCATGAAGTCACCAGGCAAGTTTGGGCCTCGTTCCTTAGAGCCTTGAGTCCTCTAGCTCTATCTTCTGCGCTGGCTGCCATGCAGCTTGTGACTTGTCTGTAATCTGTGAAGACAGATGACAGTTTAAGCAGTCTCATCCTTTCTGTTCATTGTCCTTAAGATCACAAAGACAAGAGCAACCCCGTGAGTTTCTAGATCAAAAGTCAGCAGTGGGTGAGGATCCACGGGCCCCTAGGTGCTGCTCCCTCCTGGGCAAGTCCTCAGAAGACCCATACTCCGCTCCTATAAAGGCTGGCTGCATAGCTGAACTCTAGAGTGTCCACATAAACATTCTCATTGTATAGTTCTAAAGTAATTTTAGGACAAAGAATAATGTACAGGTACCCTGTTCTTAACATTTTATTTGGTCCCCTAAATAAATTTTGTGGTCCAGTATGGTTTGGTCTTAAGAATTGTATGTACTCTTAGCAACATGTCCCGTTGTTCATCAGTATCTTGGTGCATACAAACTAGACTTTTCTATGACCATTTTGTATAAGGGATAATACATTATACTAATATGTGTTATTATACAACGTGTAACACAATCATTGGCATAAATGGAAATGGTTTTTAAGCTCCAGAGGATTTTCAGAGTAGCCTTATATTTTGCCTTGATAAAGGATAACACCAACCATAAACATAGGTCCCAGGTGATCAGAACCCACTGCTAGAAAACTGGCTCTGGGAGGATGCTTGGGGAGAAGCTGCCTTGGGGTGCTAGATAATGGCTGCACAGAACAGGCTTCTGTTTCTGGTGATCAAGCACAGGTCCTCAGACTTGTGTGGAAAGCACTTTATTGACTGGGCCATTCTGCCTCTCCAGCCCCAGGTTAATTTTTTTAATCACGTTTGGATTTTGATGTCATGTTTTGTGTTTTTTATCTGATGACTGGCTTGTAGAGTTGATTTCATCCTTTTTTGGTGAGCAAAACTGTTGCCATAGTGTTGGAGACAATAGGGTCTAATTTCAGCTATGGTGCCATTTTGTTTTCGTATAACATTAAAACCCACATGCAAAATGACTGCAATCTTGGCATTATAAAGAAGTCACAAATAAATAATGAATTAATATTAGTCATGTAATAATGTAGCTAGAGCATAACCAATACCTCCATTCCTAGGTAAAATAGTAACTGCCTTAGAAAAAATTCAAGAATGACTTTGTTAGCTTGCAAAAGTGAGTTTATTGAAGACAGAAACCATTAGGGCAAAGTTATTCTTCCTATTCCTTAAGAACATTCTAATAAGAATATAAGAAGATGCAGAAAAATTGGCTGGTCAGCTACTTTGGGGTGGAAGCTTTCTCCCGGAATTCTCTGGAATGATGATCAAATGGGTGCAGTTTCTTCACCTGTACCTCCTTGATTGCTTTCTTTGAAAGACATCCTTGTTGACCTGGAAATTGCTTATTGAATTTTCACTTCTGAAATGTTGCTGATTTGAGAGGAGACAACCTTGCCATCCACCACCTCCTCTATGATGGTCTTCGTCACTCTTGTCTTGTTGGGATCTGAAAAATTATGGGACCATAATATCAGTCCGAAAACTCTAACGGAGACCCAGAGCAGGAGAAAGTCAATGCTATTCACTAACTGTGTTCCCTCTGGTTAAGATGTGAACAACAGTATATATATTTTATCATTTATTTTAAATATATATGTATGTATATAAAAATGTGCACAGGTGTGTGTGTGTGTGTGTGTGTGTGTGTGTGTGTGTGTAGGCCAGAGGACAACCTCAGTTGTGGTTCTTCGGGCACCTATCCACTTTGTTTTTGAGACAGGGTCTCTCAGTGGCTTGGAACTCAGTGGCCCAGTAGTCTAGGCTGGCTGGCCAGGGAGCTCTAAGGATCCACTATCTCCACCCTCCAGCCTTGGGATTATAAGTGTGGGACACCATACCTGGTTAGGTCTTTTTTTCCCTTGGATTTTGGGGATTGAACTCAGATCCTCATGTTTGCAAGGTGAGCACTTTATTGACTGACCCATCTCCCAAACCCAGCAGTGTATTCTCTAATACAGTGAGTGTAGCACATCTTTCATTATAAAATTCTTTTCAGTAATAATACAGCTGTAAGGTATTTTTAAATGATAAAATTGTTATCAACATTAAGAAAATGTTTACCTCTTCCTTGACCAGAACAGCTTCCAGATCTTGAGTCACATGATGCCACATCCCTGGATCCTGAGCTTCTATAATCATGTCTCCTGGAGAAAAGAAGGGTGTTTTCTTTGTAGTTCGCAGGGTAGGAGAAGCCCTCCATCCCAGGGAGGCTCCAGGACGCAGCTTTGGGTGTCTTCTGATCGGGCTGCATCTGTTACCTTATTTCTTCAAAGGTGTCCGACCCCGCTTTCCCTCTTCAGTTTCATAAACTCACTGGGGCCTGTGTCTCAGCGGTGTTCACTCACCCGCCCTCTCCATCGAGCAGACGGCGATAGGTCTCAATCTCCATCTCCAGACGCGTCTTGATGTCCAGGAGACGCGAGTATTCTGCATTCTGGCATTCTGTCTCACCCCGAATCTGGCATATCTGCTCCTCCAGGCAGCTGATCTGCACCTGAATTTCTGACAGCCGAGCCATGTAGCCAGCTTCTGTGTCAGCCAGGGTCCCTTCCAGGGAGCTTTTCTAAGAGAAAGCAAATAAAAAATTCATGATGAAGTCAGTGGGTGATTTGAAAAAAAATCCAAGTTTACATGGTATTTGGAGTACACTTTCTCTTAGTACACTCTATATTGTTTTTTCCTTTGCTTTAATTTTGATTGACATTACTTAAGTTACTTTTAAAAAAATCTTTTTTGAGACAAGGTCTCCTTGTAGCCCCACCTGGCCTGGAACTCACTATGTAGACCAGGCTGACCTTGAACTCACAGAGATCTACTTGCCTCTGCCTCCCGAGTGCTGGATCAAAGGTGTGTGCCACCATGCCTGGCCCTTGAGTTACATTTTAAATCAAGATATAGAGCGTTATGTTTGTGTGTGAACAAGTTCATGTGTGTGCATATGTATGGGATTGTGCATATGTGTATGAATGTGCACACATGCACGTAGAGGCCAGAAGTTGATATTGCATGTGTGTCCTTCCTCTGTTGCTTTCTACCCTATTATTTTGAGACAAGGTCTCTCATGCACCCAGAACTTACTGATTCAGCTAGATTGGCCAATGAGCTCTGTAGAGCCACCTGTTCTCCTGAGCGTTGGGGTTGCAGATGTGTGTCACCATTGCAGGCTTTACGTGGGTGCTGGGATTTGAACTCAGGTCCTCATGTTTGTACAACAAGCAGTTTATCCATGGAGCCAACCCCAATGAGCATTATGCTTAAAGGATTTATGCTTTCTAGCATATGCAACACAGTTTTCCTTTTTTTCTGTTTATTTTTTTTTATTTCTTATGTGTGTGAGTGTATTGCCCACATGTATGTAAGTGCACCTGTGTTGTGCAGTACCCATAGAGGTCAGAAGAGGATGTCAGATCTATCACCTGGAACTGGAGTTACAGATGGTTGCTAGCCACTATATGGATGCTGGGAACCAAACTGGAGTCCTTTTGCAAGAGCAGCCAGTGTTCTTAACTACTGAGCCCTCTCTCTGGCCCTTTCTTTTTTCTTTATGTGTCTAGTAAGATCTTGGCAAGGAAAGAAAACTGCATTTGCTTAATTCCCTGTTGGAGATGAAAACCTGTCTGTACATACCATGGCCAACTGGGACTGAAGTTCGATTTCCAGAGCTTGCACTGTGCGTCTCAGTTCTGTCACTTCACTTTTGGCGGAACTGGCTGCCCCTGCATCCATGGAGATTTGGGCTTGCAGGGATGCACTCTAAACGGAAATAAAACACAACGGTCGAAGGCTGCAAAGGATCAGAGGCGGTGGCTGGAGTGTGGCTGCAGGGTTAGGCACTCGGTCAGTGGAGATCCCTACCTGCTTGTGGAACTGCTCCTCGGCCTCCTGGCGGTTCTGTGCTGCCAGCTCCTCGTACTGTGCCCTCATGTCATTCAGTAATTTGGTCAGGTCGATCCCCGGGGCGGCATTCATTTCTACAGTCACGTCCCCTCTAGAGGTTCCTTGCATACACTTCATTTCCTGGTATGAAGGGAAAAAGACCACAATGATGCTACTAGAAAAGCAACAACTCTGTAACATATGCATCGCTACAGACATTGGACCCTGAGGGGGATCTTCAAGTAAACGTGCCATGTGTTCCTTGTTATGCTTTTCTGGTCATTGGATGTGGAAAGTTCATTCAGTAAAACGGAGTTTGCTTTAATAGGAACAGATGTAGGGGGGATATGGATGCCAGACCTCCTTCATACATGCGAAGTGTGTTTATACCTCCTCATGGTTCTTCCTCAGGTAGACCAGCTCCTCCGTGAGACCCTCGATCTGCATCTCCAGGTCTGAACGAGTCATGGTCAGACCATCCAGCACTTTCCTCTGGCCGTTGATGTCGGCTTCCACGCTCTGCCAGAGGCACAGCTCATTCTCATACCTGGAAGCCGAGGCAAGGAGGCAAGAGTTGAAAGGCCTGACTCACTTCAGAACTCTCCCCCTTCATACTCTGGGGAAAAGTTTTCACCTTGGAGCTGTTGTTTTCTTCTTTCTTTGTGGTGCTGGGTATGAAACTCAAGGCCTTGCTTGGACTTACTAGGCAAGTGCTCTGTTGTTGAGCTACATCCCCAGCCCATCTCTGACTATTTTGGTAAATGAAGCCTACTGGTTTCTCTGATTTTTACCTCATAAAGAAAAATAGATTTCTAATGTTAGCTCTATTTATGTTTAATAATTTTATAATTGTTATTATCCTCAAATGCTTCCTTCCTCCCTCTCTCCTTCCCATCCTTTGTCCCTTTCTTCCTTTCCTTTGAATGATGGTCTGTAAAGTTTACCCATGGGAACCAGACATGGAGGTAGTAATCCCAGCACTCTGGAGGTAGAGAGGCAGGAAGATCGAGAGTTCAAGGCCAGTCTCAGCTGCATAGTGAGTTTGAAGCCAGCCTTGGCCTCTGTTTCAAAAAACTTCCAAATCAAAACAACAAGCAAATAACCCTTACTCTTGGGATGTTTGTGAATTTAGGTCATAATCCCCTAAAGGATTTTTTTCTCTCAGCAAATGGATTGCGCTTTGACTTTCCTATGACCTTTGCTTTCAAGCCTCTCACGTTTCTTACTTCAGTCTGAAGTCCTCGGCAGCCAGTCTGGCGTTGTCAATCTGCAAAGTCATCCTAGCATTTTCAACAGTGGCAGTAATGATCTAGAAAAGATAAGGGAGAATCCTGGGTGATTTTGCCTTGTGTTTGGCACTTACCTGTGAAGGTAGACATCTCCTGTGTGTTAGCTCTTGAAGGTGAATTGACCTACGAACTTAGTGATGACACCTGTGTATTTAGCACTGTGTTTCTCTGCAGAAAGTAACAGTTTACATAGTTATCGGGATAGGTGCAGAACGTTTGTTTTATAGGATATCACTTTCTACCTATTTCTGATGTTTGGAAGATCAGTCATTCCATCACTTTTTAAAGTAACTGATGGAAATACAGAGTTTCATTTAAAATACATTTTTCACACTTCAGTGACTGAAAATTTTCAGTTTTATTACATCATTGTACAATATTTGCACAGATTTTCTAGGAAGAAAAATAGTTCCTAAAGACTTTTTAAATCCAGAAAGACACAAAAATTTATTAACCTGTCAGAATGAGTCATATAGTAAATAGATCACCCTAATTATCAACAGAATACCTCCAATCTTATACGGAATACCTCCAATCTTATATACTGTCAGTTACCTGGCTTTGAACTAATTTGACTTTTCTGAAGAAATACTGAGATGCAGACAGAAAATCAGTGTTCTATGTCAGAACTGTCATAATTAAGAAACACCAGGATCCGTTGTTACATATATGAATAACTCCTTGACTTAGAAATTTCTTTGAAGGCTAGAAAGATGGCTCAGTAGGTAAATGCACTTGCCACCAAACCTGATGACCTGAATTCAATGCCGGGGGTCCACAGGGTGGAAGGTGAGAACCAACTCTGTGAGCTGTCCTTTGACCTCTACATGTGCACCATTGCACACGTGAACCTACCGCATACAAATAATTAAATGTAAAAAAAAGTCATCACAATAAATGATCTGACTAAAACCGAAAGACAGGCCATAGGAGCTCAGCGTGGTTGAGACCCACCTGGTTCTTCAGGTCTTCAATGATTGAGTGGTATTTACTGTAGTCTCTTCCAGATCCACCATCTCGGAATCCCCGCCCGTGTTTTGCATACCACTCCTTGATTTTGATCTCCAGGTCAGTGTTAGCCTCTTCTAGGGCTCGGACCTTATTCAAGTAATTGGCTAGACGGTCATTGAGATTCTGCATGGTTTGCTTTTCACTTCCAGAGAAAAGCCCCCCATCACTACCACCACCACCAAGGCCACCTCCTATACCACCGCCGGCGCTGTAGAAGCCTCCACTGGTACCACTGCTGAATCCAGAGCCCCCACCGAAGCCAGAGCCCCCATCGAAGCCAGACCCAAAGCCCGAGGCTGCTCCGAACCCACCCCTCACTGAGCAGCTACGGAAGCCCCATTCACCGCCACTTCCAAAGCCACCCTTAGATCCCCCACTCAGGCCACAGCTGCTGCTGGCTCCTCCTTGGAAGCCCTGGGCAGAGCCGCCCCCCACACCACATCTGCTTCTACTGCTGAAGCTGTTGCCCCCAGTCACAGAGGAGGAGACGCGGGAGGAACAAGATCCACTCCAAGCTGAGCAAGACATCGCTGCTCCTGCCAGCTGTGAGCTGTCTCCCGGGAATGGGAGAGGTGGAGGGGAGGGCCTGTTCTAGGCTGCCTTTTTGGCCCTTATATGCACACTATTAGGGTGTTCCTTTTCTCTGTCATGTCTTAATCCCTATTATAGTTTTGCTAATCCGTAATTGGATAATTTCTTTTCCACGAACCCACTCTACTGGCTCTTTTTCTGAGGCTGGGTTAGAGACAGAGAAAAAATAAGGTGGAGTCAAAGCAAAAATAATTAGAATTAAAGTTTTAATCTTTGAGAGGTTTTGATGACTGGTGATTCTTTTCAGAAAATGCAATTCAATTAAATTTGCTCCCTGATTTCCTAATGGCAGGGTACATCCCCAGATTATCAAATGCAATTAAAATCTTCAGTCGTTGTATTGTTATCAGAGTTGAAATTAGCTTTAACATATGCATTACTTTTGGGTTTCATGAAACACCATTCTCTTTAATTACTTCAAACCAGCCTGTTTCAGATGCTGTAGAAGTTTGTGCTGTTTGGCTGCTGCGTTCTTTGTATTTAAGACCAACTGATATGTTTTTACTGTTGATAAGAAAAAGTTAAACAGCCAGGTGTGGTAGTGCACACCTTTAATCCCAGCCACTCACAAGGCAGAGGCAGGTGGATTTTTGTGAGTTTGAGGCCAACCTGGTCTACATAGCTAGTTTCAGCCAGCTGGGCTACAGGGTGACCCTGTCTCAAAAAGACTAAAAAGAAAAAAAGAAAAAGAAAGAAAAAGAAAAAGAAAAGTTAAATAGATATTAGTCTTCCATGTGAATACTATTAGATATCTGGAGCGTGCTTATTCAAGTAGATAAAGTCTGAGAAAGATCAGAGGTTTAAGCACATTGTTCCTATATTGGGTGAGGGTGAGGGTCTAAGCACCTCAACCACGCCTTTCTTTCTGATTGAACTCTGGTCCTCCGTATCCCCCATCTTGAGGCAGGGTGTCATGTAGCCTAGGATGACCTGGAACTTCTGATCCTTCTGCCTCCACCTCTGGAATGCTGGGATCATACTTGTGTCATCACACTCACTTTTATACTAGGTTGGAGCTGGAACCCAGGACTTTGTGCTTGCTAGGAGAGCACTAGACCAACCAACAGAGCTACATTTCCTGCCCTTGAACTTTAGTCTTATACCGAGAGTGACTTCCTTCTTTAGAATCAGATCTTAAGAAACAGAGAGGAGACAATGCTGACTTCTGTCTCTGTTTTGAAGCTCACTGGAGAAGAGGATTTGAACCCACTGTTGAGTGCACAGGGCCTTTTCACACATGATGAAACCTGGAGCTTGCCCCATTCTATCTAGCTTTACTGGGGTGGTTCTGTTTTGATGTAAAGAAAGAGGCCCTTCAGTTCTTCTGATAACTTACCCTATGCAAGCATAGGATGTTTCAGGTAGATGTTCAGATCTGAAGTTTTCCTCACTCACTCTCTGCTTTGTGTTGCTCTGATGTCATTTCCTTTCATCTTGGCCAGTAGCACTTTTGGTTTAAAAGTGTCTTTTTCCAAAGACCAGACGTGTCTGAAGTTCCTAGAATAGTCAGATTCATAGACAAAGAAAGTGAGGGTACCAAGGGCTGGCTTGGGAGAGTTTGAGTCTTGCAAAATGGAAAGACTTCTGGAGATCAGTTGCCTGAGTACATATACCACATGTCTCTCTCTCTCTCTCTCTCTCTCTCTCTCTCTCTCTCTCTCTCTGTAAAAAAATGCCCAAGCATATGCTGACCTTTTTGGTTCATTCCTTCCATAAACTATAAGACCAAAGGACAGTAGTAAACAAATGGTATGTAAACGCAGGAGCAGAGCTGGCATGCGTGGTGATGAAGTTTCTCTTCCTTCACAGATCATGAAGTGGAATCTTTCCACTCTGATAAAGCCTGGCACTGGGTTAAGGGGAAGTTTCCAGAACGATGGCTGAGTGAAAGAAATCTGATGGAGCTTAGAAACTTAAGAGCCTTTGGGCGAAGAGCTTTATTCGGAAAGAATGAGAAAGAGTCGCAGAGCTGTTTTGTCTCTGTACTTCCCCTGGGGTTTGTGGAGTTTTTCTGTGTCTGTCATCTGAGTTGAAACTTTGTGATGGCTTTATTTACTTTGTGCTTTCTGGTATCTGAACATCTGGGTCTTAACTGAGGAAGTAGGTGATGGATAAGGTGTTCTATCTAGGCTTTAAAAAAATCTGTTTTAGCTTTCTTCTTGATGTGACTTACAATGCTGGGACTCATTTCTTTCATTTATTTATTTGCCATGCTGGGGATCAAACCCAGGGACTTTCACATGCTAGACAGTGTTCTACCCCTGAGCAACATCCTTAACCTTTTTTTTTTTGTCTCAAAATTAAGTTCTTAAATGTACGTGTGTGCACACACACACAAAATCACTTGTGTAGAAGTGTGTAGAGGCCAGAAGTTAACCTGTGAAAGTCTTCCTCGTTTACTTTTCATTATTATTATTAATCATTATTATTATTATTATTATTATTATTATTATTATTATTTTGAGACACAGTCTCTCATTCAATCTTGAGTTTACCATTTCAGCTAGACTGGCTGCCCAGTGAGCCTCGGGGTCCACCTATCTCTGTCTTCTGGTGTTAAGGTTACGAGTATATACTGTCATGCCCAGATTTTTTGTGGGCTCAGGGGATCTGAACTTAGGTCTTTGTGTTTGTGTAGCAAGTGCTTTACCCAGTGAGCCATCTCTCCAGACCCCAAATTAAGCTCTCCTGAGATACTAATTTGAGTCTTTTCAGAATGAACTGACATTAACGATTAAAACAGTTACTACTGCCCCAAATGCTTTGTGTAATGAGCCAGGATGGAAATAAATATATAGATCACCTGTGTGGCTTCCTTCTCTTCGTCAGTCTCTCCTGAAATGTGTTTTCATGCTGTCTTTCCATTGCATCTCTGTGGCTTTTCTTCCAAGCGGTCAATCTATTAAGGAGACTAACCTTGATTCTGTGATTTGCAGACTATCTAGAACACTGGTATTCAGTGGATTAAAGGATTTTAATCACATGTATGAATACAATTCTTTTCTGTACTGAAGTTTCAGGATTCAGCAGTAAACATTACTCCCCACTGTTTTAAGAACACCTCAAATGTAATATGCACTCTGTTTGAAATAGAGACACACCAAAGATAACAAGTTCTTGCAAAATGGAAGCTTCAGGAACGTACTGAGTGTTCAGTGGTATGCGATATTCAGAAGTTTGGCCTTAGTGCCTGGCAACCTGTTCAATGGAAGTAGATCAAATCCCAAGCCTTGAGGTCTTGACTGGGTTTGTTTTCTTTGCTAATTAAAGAATTAAAAGACAAGGGCTGGAGAGATGGCTCGGCGGTTAAGTGCACTGCTTGTTCTTGCGAAGACCTGGGACCAATTCCCAGCACCCACATGGTGCCTAACAACCATCCATAATTCCAGTTCCAGGGGATCTGACACCTTCTTCTGACCTCTGCAGGCATTGCATGACATGGATGTACTTCCACACATGCAGGCAATATACTCATACACATAAAAAATAAATAAAATATAAAAAAATTAAAAGACAGGGAAAAAAATCTCAGGCATAGTAGAAGGCAACAGGTAACAAACTATTAAAAATAAAGATGTCTACACATACACATACTCACACAGTGAAAAGTGGAGAGGAGGGGACTCAGAAACTGAAAGATCCAAAAGCCCCCAGGAGGACTGAGAATAAGAAGAAGCCAGGGGCTCTGTCTGCTTATTGGGAATTTGCTCCCTCACTACTTTAAATGGCTGTGGTTAGCCATTCACTTTGACTGTAAAGAATTATATAAACTACACTTCTTATAAGATAAGATCTTTGCAGAAGGACTTACAAATAGTAGCCATCAATTTTTAAAAACATAGATGGCTAGCATCTTTTTAAAATTTCTGATGAGGGGCTGGAGAGGTAGCTCAGCAGTTGAGAGCACTGGCTGCTCTTGTAGAGGACCCGGGTTCCCAGTATGCACATGGCGGTGAACAACTGTCCATAACTCCAGTTCCAGGTTATCTCATACCCTCTTCTGGCCTCTGTGGGCATTGTATGCATGTGGTGTACCTGCACACATGCAAGAATAAACACTCGCACACACACACACACACAAAATAAAATTAAAATTAAAAAAATTAAAAAAATTTAGATGAATGGTTTTAGATGAACACACACTGACAAGCATGGCTTATTGATTCTGATGAATCTTTACAGAGCTGAAAACAGAACTCAATGTTTATCTCCTGCTCCTTCCAGAGAATTTTCTAGTACATGTTTTTCAAACAAGGCATACCATCAAAGTAGTTAAGGGAAGTAACTGGGTTCAGAGTATTTGTTGAATGTTGAAAGGACTTTTTGTGGCAAATAGTACAGGAAAAAAGAAAAACTGCAGATCCCTGGGGCCCTCTTTTGTAGAGTATCACTGTTCAGCTTAGCTTTTTGGTGACAGTTGCCAGGCTCAACTACTTGAAAGAAGAGAGGCCAGTCCAGTGGCTCTAGCAGCGTCTTTCCATTGATGTCAGTCGGTGCTGTTGTGTGAGGTGCCAGAGAAGCCACAAGCTACCGGCAAAAAGAGGGCAGACGCCCTTCCATTCCGCGACTTTCTTTTCCTTCATGCCTTCACTCTAACCTTTTTTTAAGAAAAACCATCACCCTTGTCTCTTCTCTACTTGAGTTTTCTTTTCTCTTAGTTTAACTGAGGATTTGCTGATTTTGTCTTCAAAAATGCAACTATTAATTTCATTCACCTTTTAAAACATTATATTTAAATTTTCTTTTTTTTTTTTTTTGGTCGTTTTTTGAGACAGGGTCTCCCTGTAGCCACAGCTGGCCTGGAACTCGATTTGTAGACCAGGCTGGGCTTGATCTCACAGAGATCCACCCGTCTTTGCCTCCTGCGTGCTGGGATTAAAGGTGTGTGCCACCATTTCCAGCTAAATTATCTATTTTTTAATCTTTTTTTTTTCTTT